GGAACTCTTGTTCAACTTATTTTATGCCGCCATCAATACAGGGGACAAATACATGACAGGACAATACACATTTTCACCTGAGCGAAGTGAGGAAAGTCGTGTAAAGGGCACTAGATCGGTGGCATGTCAGGACTAGAACCCGGGACCTCTAAGTTCCGAGTCGCGCACTCTGCCGCTACGCCACACGACCCCACATCCAACATCCAACATTACTGTATTCAAATTAAAGTTGCAATTTATAGGCATTTGGGTGAGCACTACATCCGGGATTCGAACTCATGACGTAGCCTCTATCAGTCTTCGGGAGGAGGCTGGAAAGAGTAGAAGTTGGCCAAAAAAGAGAGATAACATGCCAGGGGAGTCGGTCCGCTAGAGGGGTCCTAGAGAGTACAGTTTGCCGTACTGGTTGGTTTAATGCTTAAAATATCTTCAGCACTGAGACCTTGGACCCCGACAGTCTATCTGCGCACCCTACAAGCACAGGCATCTCCTCTGACGTGGTAAGTCAATTGTTCTCCGAATCAGCTGACAGATATCTCTCTATATATTCAAACAATCTAAGCTCTCCATTTAATAACCAGAAATTAAGCCATGTTCACATTTGTCATACATGATACAATACTAATTATATATTGTACTCAAATCATCAAATGTGATGTCGTATCATGTACTGTATCATGTATGGATTAGTTCTGTTTACTAGTATCTAACTTCTCCCTACTGTACAGGTGTGACCTACTGCATTTACTTGTACCCACTGGCATCACAGCCACCCGTCAATCTCCATTTGTCAAGTTCTGACAGAATATGAACGTCTTCCAGTTCTCACTACAGAACCCACAAAGCACAGTACTCAAGGTAGGCACAAAATATACACCATTTATATGTCATTGCTGCCATTCTGCAGTCCTTATTCTACCATTTTCAGATCTCAACTATCCTCATTGTTTTTCCCAGTTCGCCCTCCCTAAATCTACTCCAAAGAAAACCATTACAACATCACACTCACTCTCTATCTTGCTTTACATCATTTAACATAAAACTTCACATTTTTGTTTATGTAAGAAGTTAAGAACACAACTCTTTAGGTAGTTCTAGGAACTCACTGCCTTTACATATTCCTGCTATCAACCACAAATGTTCTCTTTTCTGCCATGCTCCAACATAGTAACTAACCAGACTTTTACATTTTCAGCATGTCTACACCACCATCAACTCAACTGCCTATTCTCTAATTCATGGAAATGAATTATAAAATCAACTCAGACAAGTCATCAAAGTCTCATGACATTCTGGCATGTTCCAACACATTCTCTGATGTGTTTTAGCCTGGTTACCAAACCTATTATAGCTCCCCAGTCTTACAGCTATTGCGGAGAGACTGTAGGACTCTGGAGCTATAATAGGTTCGGTAACCAGGCTAGATGGGTTGTACACTACCAAAACTATTCTCCACTTGGTCCCTCTGGGTTTGCTGCATCCTGTGTGTCAGCTTGGCTGGTGTTCAGATATGGTAGGTACATACGAGCCACAGCGTTCATAGAATTGTACACACACTGCCGCCCAAAAGGCAGTTCAGATGACTCTCTCCAAACACCTTCAGGCCTGTCATACACGAAAACCTCTTGAAATAGCTCTAGCTCGTCATCTTGATTCGGGGAATCATAATCCACAATTGCATGCAGCTTATTTTGGAGTACAAAGAAGGCTCCATTTTCAACGTATATGTTTGGATTAACATGAAAGTTTGGGACTGGATGTTCAGACCAGCTGTCTGCTTCTGTATCATACACCAACATGTTGGAGTAGCCAGGATCCATCCAAAAGATCTCTGTTCCCATGGCACCTGCCATACCGAAGTCTAGTTCCACTTTAGGACTGTAGACTGACAGGGCTTTCTTGGACCACCGGTCTTCCCTTGGGTCGTACCAATGCATCTCTGCAAGTGTGAAGAGGTAGATGTGCTGATTGCAGGACACTGCAAAGAGGCAGTCAAACTCACCAATATCAGGTGTTGAACAGTTTTGCCACTCATTCTTATGCTGGTTGTATTTCTTCAATACCGGTACCACTGGATATTCATCAACGTAAAAAAGATGTCCATCAACTTCCATCAGGTATGGACGTCCCGGTTTTTCACATCCTTTGCACACAGTAGACTTTTGTTCCCACTTGTTCTCAACATGGTTGTATTTACACAGATAGATGCTGTCTGGATCTGTAGCCAAGCCATAGATCTCATTATCACAAGTAACCACACCCCTGTATGGACATACTGGTTGGTCATAGTCACACCTGATGTACTTCCCTTCTCCTGGGTTCATCCACAGCATCTTTTTACCACTGTAAATAAAAGGTAAGATACATTCAATGATCAGGACATACAATGTTGGTTCTAGGATTTAGGAAGATAATGCTGAAGAGAAATTCAAACTTGAAAACAGAGTCAAAGAAGAAGAACAAGTATAATATTATACATACTTCACTTCATGACGCAATAGCAAAGATAATAAATGCTATGTTCAGCAAAGGAGAGGTCATAAAAGCCATGGGTCAAGGCGTTCTTATCCCTCTACAAAAACCAGGCAAACCGCGAGGTCCATGTAACAGCCTCCGGCCGATAGTTCTGCTGAACGGCGTTAGGAAACTCTTTTCGCTCATCGTGCTGGAACGCTGTAAACCTCAGGTAGATCTATATCTGCCACGCTCACAGTCCGCTTACCGCCGGGGCCATAGCACAACCGACATCGTTTTCACCAAGAGAATCCTGGCCGACTTGGTCATGACGAAGGTGTGTGACTTTCACATCCTTGGTATAGATCTCAGCCGTGCCTTCGACACCGTGGACAGAGCTCAGCTCATATCGGTGCTGAAGGACGTGGTAGACGACGATGACATAGTGCGAATGGTGCATGCTCTCTTGACAGACACCACCCTCGCGGTACGCGTCCGAGGAGAAGCAGCCCCTCCGTTTGAAGCAGTTGTCGGCTCACCCCAGGGTGACAGCTTAAGTCCACAGCTCTTCAACATCTACTATGAGGCAGCCCTCCGTGATCTGCGTGAGACCTACCCACCAACCCCTGCCGAAGACAAGCGGCTCAAGCTACCACCAGAGACCCAATATGCTGATGATCTTGATTTCATAAGTACATCCCACCAACATCTAGAAAACATACACGAGCAGGCGATAAAGGTTCTGCCAGAATGGAAGCTACAGGCCAATGCCACCAAG